CCCAGCTTATCCACCCACCTCTCTGCATCCTTCTCTGAGACCAGCAGCTACTCATTAGCCTCAGAGGACTGTCAGCGAGGCATAATTACAGAGCAGGTAGATTCTCCCCAGATGCAGTGTTCCAGCTTTCCTCTGCCCTCTGGCATAAAGCAGTACGCTCCACTTCTTCGAAGTCAGTGAGGACTGAGCCACCTGTTAGGGCCTCGGTCCACTTCATGCACCCCAGTGAGAGGGGCTTCCTCGGTTGTGTGCACGTGTGCGTGTGTCTTAAAGCTTGATGCTTTGTGTATCCTGGCACTGACTGTGGGAATGGATGTGCAAGGAGGGAGGTGTAGCCCTCTGACCTTGGGCAAACAGCACAGCAGAGGCGCTCTGGCAGGAGCCATGGCATGTGTGTTGAGGGGCAGAGTGAACGGTTAGATGATATGATTGTGTGTGTGTGTGTGTGTGTGTGTGTGTGTGCGTGTGGCTGCACACAACAGGGAAGGTTGGATGAATGCGTCGACTGCTCCCTTTGGACAGGCCATTCTACTTGTCAGAGTCTTAAGTTTTAATCTAGAAAATGAAACTGTTCTCCGTCATTTCTATCTCCTTGAGTCTGAAGACCCCGTGACTGGTCCTGTAGGTCGGGTGTATGTTTGGTGGGAACTCTTGGTTGCTGTTGGCTGCTTTCTGTCCCCTGACAAATGCCCGGCCCCAACTCTCGCTGTTCAGTAGTTGTACAACATTTGGATGCTCCAGTCTGACGGCCAGAGCTGGAGGGCAGGAGGAAGGCAAGGAGCAACGTGGGTGAACCCTTCTGGCTAGGGTAGGTATGAGGAGACTCAGCGTCTGTCGTGGCCCTGCAGCAACCAGAAGGATTTGAGCTGGGATGTGTTGTTCCCAGAGGCCCTGCCATGTGTGGCTGGCAGTCTGCGCTAGCTGCCAGTTATTGCAGAGGGGATAGAAGTGAGAGAAGGAACCACAGAAATGGGCAGGCTGACCAGCCTGGACCCCCTGATTCCAGCTGAGTTGCGCTCTGTGCTCTGGTGAGGTGCGAGGCTGGTCCCGGGCCTGAAGCTTCGATGAATTAGGGGAGACTGAAGAGGACAGAGGGAGCCACCCTGTAGCAAAGGGACAAGTGCTGCCTGTGTGGAATAGGCAGCCCCTTGACGTGGCTCAGCTGTGTGTCCAGAGCGGATTTGCAGGCTCTTCTCCAGCCCTGAAGATTGATCCTGGATGGGTCTCCCCATACCCCCAACTGCAACCTTGAGTCCGACTCACCCCTGGTCGGTCTGAGGTCCTACACGACAGTGGGGAAGAGAAACTGGGCCCAAAATTTCAAATGTATACAGTCAAGAAAAGTATAATGGAGCCCAAATATTTACATGCAGTTTCTATAGTTACCACACGCTAGTCAGTCCTGTTTCCTCTTCATTGCACACCCAGCCCCCACTTTCTCTTTTCATTTATAGCTGTGTTTTGCAGGAGGTAATAGCTTTTTAATTTTAAATAGCTCGTCTTTAACCTTTGGACAGAGCAAAGCTGTTTGACCTTTGCTATTCTAACCCCCTGAGGCCTCTGACACTGGTGATGAATTACAGCTGTGTGACCTTGTGCTAGTACAGCTGCAGGCCCTGTGGCTCTTCACCCTGTTCCCCAGTTTCTGTTTCTCTAAGGAGAAATACACCCCATGGGTCTTGCATGTAGTTTATAATGTATATTATTGAGGTAAATAAGCACATAATATTAAACTGATAATAGCTCGGAGACTTACATAATAACCTTTGGGACTGAGTAAAAACATGGTGTCCCCTATGTTTGACAGTTTTAGATCTGTAAAGAACTGATCCAGAGCCGGGGGTATAGCTTAGCTCAGTGGTAGATTGTTTGCCTAGCAGTTTTTTTTTTTTTTCTTTTGGTACCCGGGATCGAACTCAGGCCCTTGCACTTGGCAGGCAGGTGTGGTGCCGCTGAGCTACATCCCCAGCCCTGCCTAGCACTTTTGAAGACAAGGGTTTAATCCTTAGCACTACTGAAACAAAATAAAAAACTGGTTCAGGAAAATTGAGTTAGATGGAAATAGTGAAAAGCCCCATGATACAAGTAAGTAAAGTTTGATATGGATAAAACTACTCGATAGATCAAATTTGTCATTCTTAAATAGAAATGGATTGATCCTAATGAAAATAAATTTAGCTAAATAAAAATGGGAAAAGGAGCACTGGATATGAAAAATAATTAAGGAACTAAATGGGGTTAATGGAATTCTCTCTAGAAATGCTTTTGAATGAGAGCTTATCTATTTGGGAATAATTTCTTGTTAGTACAGTACATGCTAACAGTGCATAATTCATCATGGGGAGTCAGTACATGACGCATCTTAATTCTTGTACTTCTTCTCTTCCCACCCTTCCTCCTCCCAATTCTGATTAAATGTGTGGAGCCAAAACATCCTTGGGGAGGAAATGATGGTGTCAAATGGCTGCTGCCTGTCTCTGCAGAAGTTTGAAAGGGGAGGGTACCACCAGGAGGAGGAGGAGACTCTCCTTCCCCAACTTGTAAAGTGGAGGAGGATTCTTCCCAGCCTTGGGTACAGCTTCCCCTCTAAAGTGGCAGACCCAAAATTACATCACAAAAAAATGCATAGGAGGCTCCTGGCCTGGTCCTGGCCCTGTGACCTTGAGTCCAGCACAGCAAAAGCCCTGAGGATAGAGGAGCCAGGCTCCGTGTCATGTGACTGCTGCTCCCCTCTAGTGCATGCTGCCCCCTGCCAAGAGGGGTGGTCGTCAAGGCACTGGGGTGCTGGGGACTCCTTCTAGAGATTCTTTGTAGGTTCTTGCTGTCCTGAAGAAAGAACTGGTCAAGACAAAGAGTAGGAAAGGTAGGAAAGGAAATGCTTGGTGAGAGTGGACCACTGGAAGAGAGAGCTCACAATGGCCACCATCTTTTTTATCAGGCTGAGGTCAGATCTAGGCCGTCCTATCCAAAACCTGCTTGAGTTCTTGTGTGAAGAATTGAAGTTAGCACTGTGATTGGTACAAAGCTTGGGCACCTGTGCTCTGGACAAGTCACGCCCACCTACCCAGCCAGCTGCCCACACCCTGATCTCCTGCCTCTGGGTCCCTGCTGGTTTCACGTTGGAGCAGCCTCTGCTTCCCTGGGCGGTCATCTCTCTGTTCCTCTTTAGAATAAAGTGAGACCCTGCCTCCTCCCAGTCCACGTGCAGGTCTCCAGGGGTCTCTCAAAGCCTTTTGCCGTTCCTTAATTGCCCCTGGTCTCCTGTCATTGGAGTCGCAGTTGTCCGATAAAGCAGTGACAGCGTCTGTTGGGGGACAGAGAAGGCTGAGCTCTAAGCTGAGTGAGGACAGGAGGCCTTTCAGAGTTCGCCTCCCTAGCTCAGCTGTTTGAGCAGTGGGCCTGCTCCTCCCTGCTTCTGCTTGCTTCTGTGGCATCTCTTCTCTTCTCCCCATCCTGGTCTGCACAGTAGTGTGGCCTTGATCGGGGTGGAGAAGGGACCCGTGCCTTCCTGAGTGCTTCCTGGTCACCCTTGACTTGACTGGTTTGTAATGAAGGGCACTTGCCACCTCCTTTCGTGAGCAGCCTTTGGCATTTCTCTTCATGGAGCTGTTTCCATGAAAGCTCATAGTGCCCACGAGTCATGGAGATATTTAAATTCCTCCTGTGTTGCACTCCAGCTCAGACCATGTTCTGCTGCCATCCTCCCTTCAGTGGGCTCCCTGGGCCTCTCGGTGAGTGACCCAGCGTGTGACTTGTGCACACCGTGGAGCTTGGGGACCTGGGCTCTGTTAAAGTTTGCGTGTTAAATGTAGTTGTGCGAAAGATTTCTAGGTGTCATCTGGGCAGCCAGTGCTCTCTGTGATTCTGAGAGTCTCTTCTGCATTTGGAGGTCCTGCATCTGTGATGACCTTCAGCAGCTCCTCAGTGAGGCTGATGTGGAAACTCTCAGGCGCTGCCATGTTTGTGACCCAGCCTGATGCCCACTGCCTCCTGTGAGGAATTTCCCTAACAGACCTCGCAGCCAAATCCCCTAGATCATGTGGCTCAGGCTGGGACACCATTTCCCACAGCTCTGGAGGTCGGAAAGCTGTGTATGAAGGAGCTCTCCTGTGGCTGGCAGAGAGATGGCTGCCTTGGCACCGTGTGCCCCTACGGCCTCTTTGGCGTCAGTGAGTGGAGGAGTGAGAGACCTCTCTTCTCTTCCTCTTATGAGGGCATTAATGAGAACCCCATCAAACTCTGCTTACCTCCCACACGTCTCCCCTCCAGTCACACTGGGTGCTGGGGCTTCAGTGTGTAAATATTTCTCGGTGACACAAACATTTTGTCTGTGAGGGAAGCCTCTCAGAAGCCTCCCTCCTCGACCATTTCCTGCCTGTCAGCTGCAGCTTAGTAATGGACCCCGTGGCTGAACCTTGACACTTTAAGGCTCTGTGTCCCAGGGAGGTGGAGAAGAGGGGCAGTGGGTGTGGGACACGTGCCCAGTGCTGACTTGAACAATCAGATGACTGAGCGGGGGTGGTGGAGAGGCTCAGCCTGGGCTCTCTCAGTCATGTGGAGACTCAGCCCTCCTGTTAGCTGGACTGTTACATGTGACATGACGCGGTAATGTGCTTCTGTGCCGTGGCACAAGGCAGAGCGAATCCTGTGGAGATGCCACACGCTGGCCAGGAGCTGGGCGGAGAGCATGCTGGGAAAGGCCCCTGAAAGCAGGCCTCGTCCTCTGCAGCTGTAGTCCTTCTTGGCCCTCATCGCAGGCACAGCGAGGTGTTAGGAGGGCTGTGGTACAGCAGCTATGTTTCAGAAGGACCCCCAAGGGCAGCCCTTTTCTTGCTTGAAGAAGAGATTCATGATTCCAGCAGGAGGCCTAGTTGAAAGAGTTTACTCTTCAATATTGCTGAAGTGAAATTCTAAGATTTTCTAAAAATCAAACGCAGGTCCTGTTTTGGGCACTGTTGGGCTCCTGTGGGGTGACTGCTGTTATCTTACAGCTTGTCTGAGGCTGGAGGGAGGCTGGCCTCGAGAAGAGAGCCAGGATGGCCGAAGGCCCGGGCCGGGAAGGCGAGCCGTGTCACCAGGTGCGTTGTGCCATCTGCTCACTTTGTGGGTGGGGCACTTCTGGCGAGAGTGGGCACTGTCCGCGGTGTAGCTGGGGCACACCCGAGAGGATGCAGGTGGCCACTCCATAGCAGGAGGTCCCTGGGCCTCTTTGGGAGGGTTAGCCTGGCATTCACCCAAGGCCTCCACTTTTGGTTCCTTTTTAAAACATTTGTTCCCAGGCCCTGTCAAATCCCCTACAGATACTAACATGTTCCCTAATGGTGTCCGCAGAGCCCCAGATGGCCCCACCCTACCACCAGTCCCCCAGCAGCTGCCAGTTGTCCCTGACCTTCTGCCCAGCTCACACTCAGTCTCCTGTAAGAAGGCTTTCCTGGTTGACTCTGTTGGCAGTTAGTTCCCCTCCTACTCCCTGCCTGGATCTCCCTCCCTCCTGGGTGCCTGGATTTGCCGCCCCTACTTGGGAAGGCCTGCTCCTTCTGTGTGCTGAGTTCAGTCCCTGAACTAGGGCTGGAGCTGCTGTGCAGATGCGTTCCCCACATGGAAACTGTGGGATCACTCCAGGTTGCTGCTCCAGGGGCTGTGTTGCCTCAAGCCTCTGAGGGTTTTTCCCCTTGACTTTCTTTGTAAAGTGGCCTCAGCCTGTGGGTTTCTGTAGATTTCCTTTAAGTCATGTGAGGATCTCTCTGGCAAAGGGCGGGGCCCCTGCTGAGTCCCAGGGGTTGCCCCCTGGGCATCCCACAGAGCTTGTGTAACTGACTTGGGGATCTGGCTACCGGGTGGGGGTGGGAACCTCATTGGGTCTGCATTGGGTGGCTCTGCATTTGTTCGCGTGGTGGTGGCCTTTGTGTCTTCTTGCTGATTTCTGATGCAGTCACTCAGTTACTGGTCCTTTAGCCCATGCCTGAGAGGGTCCTGCTGTCCAAAAGAAGTGGAATGTTAGTCACCTGTATAATTTTAACTTTCCTGGTAGTCACAGTAAAAAAATGAAACCGATGACATTAATTGTAATCTTTTATCTAGTCTGATATGCGCCAAATATTATTTTATTGTGCAGTCAATATAAAAATTATGAATGAAGCTGGGCATGGTGGCACTTACCTATAATCCCAGCACTCTGGGAGGCTGAGACAGGAAGATTGCAGGTTCAAGCCCAGCCTGGCAACTTAGTGAGATCATGTTGCAAAAAATATTAAAAAGACTGGGGCTTGGGCCGGGGATTTAGCTCACTGGCTCTGCCTCCTTCCTTGCAAGCGCAAGGACCTGAGTTCGATACCCGGTACCAAAAAAAAAAAAAACTGGGGCTTTAGCGCAGTACAAAGTCCTTCGGTTCAGTAACTCTAATGAACTACTTAATATTCTTTTTTTTTTTTTTTTTTTTTTTTTTTTTTTTTTTTTTTTTACTGAGTCTTTAAAATTAGGGGTGTTTTGCACAGTTTGGATCAATCCCATTCTAATGCCCAAGAGCCACGTGTGGCTGGTGGCCACTCTGGAGGAATGGTCAGCTTCAGCTTGTGTCCACTCTCACCAGTGCCCCGTAAAAGTAGGAGCTGTGTGCTTAACAGTCAGGCACTGTCTGCCAGGCTGTCGCACTGCCAGGGTCTGGTCACAGCTCTGCTTCTCACTGCTATGGGACCCCAGGAAGAGTGCGTGTGCCCAGCCACTGCTCCCCACCTAGAGGAGAGACAGTAACCTCGCCATGGGCCAATCCAGTCCCTTCCTGGTTCTGACAGGCCACACACTGCACCTTGATCTGGGCAGGGAAGGTGTTGGGGACTGTGGTGTCCCCACCAAAGTCTCCTTAGAGAGGCAGGCCTTCCAGGAAAGGCTGCACCTGGCTGTACCTGTGCCATTTCAGAATGTGGCTAAAAGCTGAAGTATTTGTCTTCAAATACTGTTGGACTCCAGACTGTGGAAATCACATGCTCCCTGGCCTGGTGCCCACTGCCCCATCAGGCACCTGTTCCCTGTCCCGAATAGAGGGACCTGCAGGCGGCAGCCACACACAGTGGGTGGAGGAGTGATAGGCAGGGAGTCACTGCCTGGGCCTCACGGGGTTCTCTGTCACACAGGCTCAGCTGGAAGCTCAGAAAGCCACGCAGGACTTCCAGAGGGCCACAGAGGTGCTCCGCGCCGCCAAGGAGACCATCTCCCTGGCTGAGCAGAGGCTGCTGGAGGATGACAAGCGACAGTTCGACTCGGCCTGGCAGGAGATGCTGAACCACGCCACGCAGCGGGTAGGAGGCAAAGCCATAGGGAGTCACGCCTGTGCATGCAGTGGTCCTTGTGGCTCTTGGCTGGGCTGGCCCTAAGCCGTATCGGTGACAGTTGCCCAGTAACGGGGGAGCTGCTGCTCCCCTGTACCACTTGAGGTCCTGGCAGTGAACTTGGGCTTCCCAGAGAGACTGGGCTTTTCTCCAGGACCTGAGATGGGCTTCCAAGTGAAGCCCTGACCAGCAGTCCCAGCCATGCTGCAGGACAGCAGAATCAAGTGGGCCTGGCCTTCAGGATGAGGCCAGGATTTGGGGAGTCTTTGTGGAGTGGACTTCCGATGCTCTTACCAAGTATTGGACTTCTGAGTTGTGGGCTGCTGTGTCCAGGACCTCTGTGGTCACGCTGCTCAGCATCAGAAGTGAAAACTTAGTTCATTTGGCCTGTTACAACAAAATACCATAAACGGAGTGGCTTATAAACAACAGAAATTTATTTTTCACAGTTCTGGGGGCTGAGGAGTTCAAGATGGAGGCCCTGGCATCTGTGCTAGCTGTGAGGACCTGTGTCCTGGCTCATAGAGGGCTGGCTTTCTCTGTGTCCTCACCATGGTGGGTGAATGAACTCTGGCTTCTGTGAGGACACTAGTGCCACCCTCAGGACCAACCTCTTCCCCAAGGTCCACCTCTTGTTTTCTTGTTGTTTTGATACAGAGTCTTGTTATATAGCCCAGGCTGGCCTTGAACTCATGATGGTCCTCCTGCCTCAGCCTCCCAAATGCTGGGATTACAGGTGTGTGTCTCCACACCTGGGGTCCCTCCATCTCTTGATTCCCTTCCCTTTTGCAAAAGTTCTCTTTTTTTCCTGTTGTCTTGCTCTATTTATATTTTGACTTCTCCTGGCCTTTCCCTTTCAATGTCACCTGCCACAGCAGGCCAAGTCCCGTGGGATCTGATAATTAGAGATGGCCTTGAACATCCTTAAATAGAAAGCCTGACACAAATGACATCAAGAGCCAGATCTGCCTTGACTTCAGACCGTGTCTCCCCGAAGCCTGGGACTGTGGCCTGGCCAGGCTTTGTGTGGCCGTGAGCTGCCCACCCCCTAGTGGGGAGTATGAGCTACACGAATGCTGGAGACAGTTTTGCTGGGTCAGCTCGTGAAAAACCAAAGAGGTTAAAAATGTTGGAAACAAGTAGAGACTAAGAGATGTTTAAAAAAAAAAACCCACAAAACCTGCAGATCTCCCTTTCCTTTTTGCATGACTGCCATCCTAGCTGAAGAACCCATATCAGCTTATAAAAAGTAATTTCAGAAATCATTCCATCTCTTCCTCTAAAAGGAACAAAGCACAGTTTTTTCTTTCTTTCCTGGTTTTTGCTTTAGAAAATTTTTTATTAGCACATGTTTACAATTTGTAATGGTTACATTCATCACGGGGGAGTTTGGCGTGTGCTTTTGTTGAATCTTTTTCTTTTAGTTTAGGGCTAAAAAAAACTCCTAAGAGACAAAGCCTGTGGCAGACCTTTCCCCACTGCCTGGCCCACTGAGCACGTTCCTTGAATGACCATGGAGAACCCACCTCTTCCCCAGGGCCAGACGCTTATTTGGCTTTGAAGCAGCATCAGGTGACGTGGACTCTGCCGGCCTTCGCGTGTCCGCAGATGGAGCTCTCATCTTGACAGTCTCCTGAGTCAGCCTCCCAGTTGCAGGCTCAGCTTGCTGAGTGTTGCTTGGTGAAGACACTGCAGGGGCTGGAAAGTATCTCCTCCCCGTGTGACTTCTGGGTCCTCTGGGAAGCCCCCTTCCACAGCTCCACGCATTCCTCAGTGGAGGCTATCCGTGTGTCCCCTCCTGTTTCCTTAGATGTCCTTCATTGACATCAGGGTTCACTCTTGGAACCACGCCTGAAGCCAGCACACTGGGAGGTGTCAGGAGCCCCAGTGTCCTCTGGGCTATGTGAAATACCACAAACTGGAGCAGTTCTCTGCTGGGTACAGCCATACCTGCAATTGTAGCCTCCTTGGAGCACGGAGCTCAGGTCCGTGCTGCTTGCCGGGGGAAATTTGGGCAGCAGGGGCCCCTCCAGCTTTAGCAGCTTTGACCTCAGGGGGAAGGTGATGGCTTTCTGTCCTCTGAGAGGGGAGAGCTGGAAGCCTGGGAAGGAGGAGTTGGCTTTGCTATGTCTGAGGAAAAAGACCACGTGGAGGAAGAGAGGGGTTGTGGCTTGGAAGTAGGGAGGCAGGAACCGTGTATGTCCTGGCAGCAGGCAGCTGCTAGAGAAAAGGACAGAACAAGGCTAGCCTCCCCTGCCCCGGGCCTGCAGTGGATGCAAGGCCTGGGATGCTGGGCCCCTGAAACAGTGGGTCTACACCGCCGCACTCCCTTCTGGGTCCCCCCGACGAGGGGTGCAGTAAGACTCAGGGCAGTGGGAAGGCGCGCAGCGAGGGCCTTGCCTCCGGCAGAGGCCCTGAGCTGTGCTCTGTGGAGTTGAGGAGGGAGAGAGGTCAGAGAGGCCCTGGAAGCTGTCCCATGTGGGTATCCACTGATCAGCATAGAGACTGTGCCCTGTTGGGCTGGCACACTCATTCCACGCCCATCAGTGCCCAGGGTGCAAAGGTTTGGTATCTTCTGTGGGCTGCCATGGGGCAGGGTTGAGTAGAGACAACCCCCCCCTTCCCCACTGATCCCTGGGCCTTTAGTTGCTCTGGGACTCCTAGGAGTAGGGAGGGGCAGTCACTCTTGGTGACACATCTCTGTCTGTCCTGCTGGGCCAGGAGGGGCAAAGGTGGAGGCCCGTGGCTTTCACAGCATCCTCAGCCCTGGTATCTTACAGCCTGTGTACTTTTGCAGGGCCCGCTACCACCTGCCTGGTCTGACATTGGCGCGGCAGCTGTCCTGACCAACCTTTCCCATCAGGCACCAGGGGTAGTCAGTTCTTGGGCAGGAGTGTGTATCTAGGTTTTGGGAGCCCTAGGAATGCCTGACTTCTTAGCCTGAAGGCTGGGGCAGACACCCTCAAAGCTGACAGCCCAAGAGTCATCCTCGGGACCAGCCCACTTTAGGGAGAAAGTTCTGATCGTGTGGAAAGGAGGTGGACAATTGTGTCCCTCAGGTGGGATCCCTGGAGCATTCCAGCTTAGTGGAAGGAGGCAGAAAGCAGAGCATGGTGCTGTCTTCCCTTGTGTGTCCTGCATGTCATCCCGTGGAGATAGCAGTTGGGGCACAGGACCTGGAGCCTGCACCGGATGCTTCCTCCTTTCTGTCCATTACCCAAGACCCTCTCCAGTGCTACCTTTTCTGTCACCGCCATCCCGCCGCCCAGAACCCCGAGTCACCGCACCTGGAAGTGTCCCTACCCGCTAGGGCGCCACCCAGGGTTTCGTCTCCAGGGGGCCCTGCACGGGGCCTTGCACCAGGAGGTGTTTTGTCAGCGTGTGACCCTGAGTTGAATATGGTGCTGGGAAAAGGAAACAGTACCTTCCAGAAAGGAGGATAGCAAGAGTTCTGAGGTCCAGACCACAAACACCCGGTTGACCTGAGCTTTAAGGAGAGCGTGACCCTAGGAGGTTTCAAGGGCCTTGGGGCTGAGGTACAAATGCCTGTCTGGTCACTCAGGCCCACACTGCCTCGAGGGCTTCTTTGTTGTCCTCTGTGGCTTCAGCCGCTGTCCCTCTGGGGTCCTCGTCCCTTATTACCTCCCATGCCTGCCCCAAAGGCACACACACAACGCAGGCCCTACGCCAGGCTGCAGTTGGAGGGCTCCTTGGTTACCTAGGTGACTACTGAGGCAGCCTGAAGGGGCCCCTTCTGAGGCGGGAAGCTCCCGTGGAGGGCATCTGGAGAGCGCAGGGTTGTGAGTCTGCGTGGGCAGGCAGAGGTCCACAGGAGAGAGCGGGATGTGTTTGGGAAGGCGGACGCGGGAGTGCTGGGTGGCCACCTCCTCGGCCTTCCCGGCAGAATTGCCAAATGCTTGGAGCGCTCTGCGTGTTCGATTTTAGAACGCCCTTGCTTCTGCGGGCATCCTGGAGCCGTGGTAGGATGAGGGGCCGTTTGCCACTAGTGAGAACTGTCTTGTGAGGGGGATTCTTTTGGTTCGGTAGCCCCACCTCGCGGCATTTCTAACCCAGTCTGTGTGAAATGCTCTGAAGGCGAGCCCTGCCTCGGGTCCTGTCGTGGCACACGTCACACCCAGTGTGTTGGCTTTGATAAGCTTGGGGTTTTCCACCGCCTTAAAGGTGACACCAGTAAATCCTTTAAGAGAAGACAGCGGAGTTCAGGGTTTCCCCCAAGGGTCCAGCATGAGATGTTTTCAGTGCGTTTTGTTTCCTCGGGAAATAGTTGGTGTGAGACGCAAAAGGAAAGGGTTCTTTGAGATCTCTGATCGCGGAGAAGCCATCGCGGCAGGCATGTCAGTCATCTCACGCCCGCGGAGCTCGGGTCCCCCTACTTTCCTTCTCTGAGAGTTTTCTGTTTTAAAAATTACCTGTGGCTTCTGTTAACAGATAAGGCTTTTCAGAAGGTAAAAAGCACACTTGTGATACAAATATAAAATGTTCTCGTAGCAAAGATTTTATTTAACTGATTAAGGAAGGAATATGTAAGATGTTAAAAATCTTGAGAATTTTTGAATTCCAAAGGTAATTTTTAAAAATTCACAGATAACCAGCCATGCAGAAATGTGTGTACAGACAAATGCAGCACTGACCATTATCCATGGCGGTCAGTAGTAATTGCATCTTTGATTAGGACACAATTCATCTTCATTTCTCTGGGTAGGAATTATTTGTAAATCTGTGACTGTAGCTCAGTGGTTTAGCACTGGTCTAGAATGCACACAGCTCTGGCTTCGATCATTTGTAGGTTGGTGCGGCAGTGCATGCTTACTTGTGGGGCTGAGGCAGCAGGATCAAGTTTGAGGCCATCCTGGACAACTTAGTGAGACCCTGACTCAAAATTGAAGGGGCTGGGATGTGTGTACCTATGTGAGGCCCTGAGTTCAGTCACCTGTCCTGCAAAGGCAGTGCAGGGAGGACGCGTAAATACCCCTCCTCAGTATTACTAGCAGTTTGCAGTAACACAGGATTGAAAAACAGCTCTAAGACAAGGCCGGACATAACCTGGGAAGGTCCCTGGACTGGACACCCTGCCACACTTTTGTGTCAGATCAGTCTTTCATAATTTTTCCTCACACCTTTAAAACTCCTTTTTTATAAGTGAATGAATAAGCCACGCCAGGGCCAACTGGCTGAGGAGTGGAGGAGATAGAACACAACCACCTGCTGCTGTGGGCTTCTCCGAGGACTTGGAGTTACAGGCATCAGGCGGAGGGCTGGGGGGCAGGATTCCTAAGATGGTCCTGGGTGAGGGGACAACAGTACCGTGGGCCCCCTGGGGACCTCCCCGATCCTCAGGTGAACGGAGAGTGGTGATTAGCCTAACTTGACTGTGATGCTGTGTGAGACATAAGAAGATGGGTAGGATGTGGCCACCTCTACTGCCTCTCCCCCCATGGCAGGCCTGGTTCTGAGGCTTTGCCTTAGGGAAATGAGGAAAGAAACATTGATCACGTCTCCATTGCCTCTGAGCCACCTTGATTTGGGCTACCGAGGACCCTTGATTTAACTCTCGTTATCAAGATTTTATCGTCGCTCCCTCTAGAATATCCCCACCACAACTCTGACCTGCCTTCTAGTTATGGATTGTTAAAACCTCAGTCTCTGATCTGAATGAAGTGGTTGTAAAGGTAAATGTAAAGTTGAACCTTTCTGGATGCTGGATTTTTCTGTGCCCAGCCAACAAATTCAGGATGTTTTGGAAAGGACTGAATAGCTGAAATCATGGTTGCCTTGACCTCCTGACTACTCTGGTTTGTTAGCTCTTCCTTTCAGTGTCTTCCTGTAAACTTTAACCCCCCCTAGTGCTGTTTGCTGCCTGCCTGCCCATCAGCCCCTGTCCCAAAGGGGGGCGCGAAGAAAGAGAAGTTCAGGGCGGTTCCTTAGTGCAGGAGACCTAAGCGGAAGAACACAAACTGACTCACTCTGAATATTCCAAAAATGTCTCTAATTTTTATTTTTGTATTCCCCCTACATCGTGGCCAGACCCGGCTTGGCCACTGAATCATACAAGACCTTTGCAAAATAGAACAGTCGGAGAGAATATTCTATTTCATTGGGAAATTAGTTTAATCTTAGTCTGCCTACTAATTTCCTCAAAGGTTATTTAAAGGCATTAAGAAATACCCCAACCGGAAGTTAGTCTGGGCTAACTGAGGCTGACCTCTGCTTTTATTTGAAGGTCATGGAGGCAGAGCAGACCAAGACGAGGAGTGAACTGGTGCATAAGGAGACCGCAGCCCGGTACAATGCTGCCATAGGCCGCATGCGACAGCTGGAGAAGAAACTCAAGAGAGCCATCAGCAAGTCCAAGTAAGCTGGTGTGGCCTTCCCTGGGCGTGTGCCTGCCCTCTTCCACAATGGCTCAGCCTGTGTGTGCCATGTGCAGGGACCAGGACTTGGCAAGCCTTTCACCCCGAGCCCAGGGCCTCTCCAGAGCCTGTCCAGGCTCCCTTCCCACATGTCCCGTAAGATGCTGAAGAGCAGGCTGCACCACGCCAGCTTGGGAGGCACAGAAGAAGGCAAAGGAAAAGCAAACCATGATGTGGCCCGCAGGCTGGCTGTGGGGGATTCCGGTAGTGCCTGTGGCTCTGTGGCTGACTGGACGGGGCCTTGTCCCTCAGTTTTCCTGTCAGCATAATGGGAACAATTTGCTTTCCCAGTGTATGCTCTCTGTAGATAAAATGCTGCAAGACTGGTTTCACTGGAGCTTTTAAGTGCTTCTCACTACTTCCACCCTTTGTTTTTACAAAATAATGTCCCCGGTGGGCAAACAACTCTGGGGGATGAGCCCCTTGCTGTATTTGCAGTTGCGGGGCCTCCAAGCAAAAGGCGCAGGACTTTCATGGCCCCTTCAAAGACAGACCTGGAGCAGAGCATGCATTCTGGGCTGCCGCAGGCCTCTGCATGGGGACACGGGTCCAGCTGGGAGGGGATGGGCAGCTGGAAGCTCAGCCTGGGGAAGGCAAGGCGAAGGAAAAGTGCCTGTCCAGTGAGGACGAGGCTCTGAGCGGAAGAGCTCGGTCCTCTGCTGCTGTGCTCTCGGTCCCTGCGCTTGTCTGGTTTCCGCCCGCTCGCCTTCAGGTCCATGTGTGCACACAGGTGCAGAAGAACGTTAGCCGTTTGCTCCTGCTCTCTGCACAAGGAAGCGGGTGAGAGGGTGGCTGTAGGACATGTGCCTGCCCTGGGAGCACCCCCAGAAGCTGGTAGAGCAGCCCTGTGTGCTGCTTCCTTTGGTGTAACATGATGGCTCTTTAATCCAAAGCCCTCGCCCCCCCGCGCACGTCTTCCACACTTAACCTACACTCACCAGCTAACCTGTTCGGAGACACAGTTCTCGTGGCCTCACCCTGCCAACCTTTGCAGAATACTGGAGGAGTGTGGGGACAGATCTTCTGCCTCGGCTTTCTCCTTCAGGCTGTAGGCTCGGGCACGTCTGTGCATTGCGTGGACTGGCACCCAGCCCCGCTCCAGGCCTCGCTTGGGTCCCGCTTGTCTACCCTTGATGTGGCTACTTTTGCTCCTTTCTCCTGGACATCTTCCCTGTGCTACTCACGCCTGTCCACTCGCTCTCCCTGCCCTGTGCCACCTGATGTGTGTTCCTCTGGTACCTTTGGAGCCCCTGTACCCTCCTCTTCGCAAGATTCAGATTTTCTGTGCTCACCAAAGGTGTCCTGTGCTGTCCGTGTCCCACTGACGGTGAGGGAGGAGTGGCATTGCTGCCTCGCCCAGCAAGAAGTCTGAGCGGCCCCTTCCCCAGCCCTGTGTGCCATCACCCTTAGGGGCCGATCCAGGCTGCCTTTGCTGCTGGGCACAGCTGGATGTCCTTGAACAGCCTCCCTAGAGAGGAAAACAAGGGCGCGGGGGGGGGGACCCAGTACCTGGAGATTGGCTGGGCTGAGACCAGCAGCGGGTCCTGTGTCATTTATCCCAGTCGGGCCCTGGTCACAAGAGCCTGGGAGACCTGGCCAGCTACAGTAGTGGCTCTCATGCAGCCTGTAGACTTCACTGGTCATTGTATCATTTGCTCTTACTATTTTTCCTTCCTTTCTTCACAGACCTTATTTTGAACTCAAGGGAAAGTACTACGTGCAGCTTGAGGTATGTGTGGCCTTCAGAATTGTCACAGATGAATTTTTTGTTTTGTTTTTGAGGTAGGGTCTCGCTATGTAGTTTAGGATGGCCTTAAACTCACTGTGTAGCCCACTGTGAGCTCAAACTCATGACGGTCCTCCTGCCTCAACTTCCAGAGTGCTGGGATCATAGGTGTGCGCCACCATGCCTGACTCGCAGATGAGTATTTTTCTGCACTCAAAGGCCTACTTTAATGTATAGCAGGCTAATGACCTATTTACTGCATGGGGAGAACGGAGGGACACATTGATTTTCAGACCTCGAAATGGCCTGGCTGGCTCTTCCGTGGTGTCTGAAGTTACCCCTACAGATTGTACCAGGCCTGTGTGATCCTCCTTATAGCATCAGCTGCACTTGGAAACTTGCTAAAAATGCAGGTTCCTAAACACCCCCACCCCAGATCAGAACCTCTGGGTAGGGCCAGCGATCTGAGTTTTAGCCAACCCCACAAGTTCAATACAATTTTGAAAACCACAGTACTGGGAACCAGGTGGAGAGACGAAGACCTGTCTTAGATGCCCAGTGGTTCTTCCCTCTGGGCTGGAGTCCATTTGGGGATATTACAGCTGTCACCAAATGGGACTTGGGGTGGTGTGGCTGATTTCCTGCCTGGCGAATGGACAGTGGCGAGTGAGCAGCCCCTCCCCTCGTCATGTCTTAAGAAACTGTCTGCAGTGGAATCCTGTGCAGGAAATGTACTTAACCTGACATTCGAAAAGCACCCTGTGGCCCACAGGGGCAACTTTCACTCAGGCAGCCTCCCATCTCCCCAACAGCAACTGAAGAAGACAGTTGATGACCTGCAGGCCAAACTGACCCTGGCGAAAGGAGAGTACAAGACAGCCCTGAAGAACCTGGAGCGGATCTCGGATGAGATCCATGAGCGGCGGCGCTCCAGTGCCATGGGGCCTCGGGGCTGTGGCGTGGGCGCTGAGGGCAGCAGCACGTCTGTGGAAGACCTGTCCGGAGGCAAACCTGAGCCGGACGCAGTTTCTGGTGAGTCGGGCGAGTGGAGGGTCAGGACTGTGTGATCTGCTCCCGGGCTGTCTTGTCCCAAGGCCCCTGCCCTCCCTCTCTGCCCATCACTGCAAGATTTCAGAGTTGGGTCACCCTGCTGCTGTTTCCGGTGGTTTCCTACATTTTGTGGTACACTGTGCTCTCCAAGATGCTGCTAAATGTTACTCAAAAGTCAGGATTCCGTGGCCCTGTAAGTTTGGAGAATGTTACATTCGCATCCCTCCCTGAGAGAGTAGAGTATACACGAGAACGAACATTCACGGCTCTGAGAAGGCCTGCCACAAAGAGGCATTGTCTTAAGAATACTTTGGAGGGCTGGGGATTTGGCTCAGTGGTTGCCTCCTGCCCCACACGTGCAAGGGCCCGAGTTTGATCCCCGGTACCAAAAAAAAGAATACTTTGAAATCTGATTTGATTTACATCATGGCTGCCCCATCATTCCTAGTGTTTGCACTCTGTTTCTTCACCTGCAAAACAGAAATCGTGATACTGTCTGCTCTTGCCGTGTAGGGCAGTGGTTAGGATCGTAAGAAAGGCCTGGCCTCCAGTAAGTACTCAGCAGCAGATGGTGGCTCTCACTGGTTTCTGACCGTGGCTTCCGTGGCAGTAATGAAGAACGCTGTCTCTGAACACTTTGTTACTTTTACTTCTCTGTGGAATAATCTCTGGGTGGCTTTATCCCAGGCTCCTTTCCTAGTAATTCTTTAATTCCTTCAGTTGTTTGGGTGCCAGGTCCAAAGGAAATTAAGCGATGACTATGTCAGTTACTTTAATATATTTCATACTGTAAAACCTTCGTGGAGAGGATCACGAAACTCAGAGAAGTTAAGTAATTTGACAAGGCCACACAGCAGTGGAGTTAGTGTTTGAATTCAGGTCTCAGCCCATTTTGTGTCCCCAACATTATAGTTCTTAATTTTGAAGAGTCCTCTGTGCAACTATACAAGGCCATTTTTAAAGATGCAGAAGGTAAAGGAGAGTAGGAAGGACATAAGCAAAACTGTACAGGCTGAAGGGAAAAACAGCTAATGGTCTCAGTTATTCTGGTCTATAAGTGAAGGCACAAGCTATAGTGCACTGAAAAGGGTTTTGTTCTTTGTAGCAAATACAGATCTAGGCGGGCTTTGGGTGGGTCTTTTGAAAGATCAGAAGTCCCCTGGAAGGAAAGAGAAGACTCCACAGACAGCTTCCTTCCATACAGGGCTGCTGTTCTAGCAGCTCTTGCTTCTGCCCCAGGGAGGAAGCCCTTTAGTCACCTGTGGAAGATTGGCTGAATTCAGCTTTCATATTTAAGCAGTATCTGATGACTTCAGGGGTCTGCTGGGTCTAGCTGCCTATCCGCAGAGAGCACTTTGGCAGGGGTTTAAGGACCTAGGCTACTATCTGTCCCACTCATACAACTGGTACTCTCTTGCAGTGGCCTCAGAGGCTTTCGAAGACGACAGCTGTAGCAACTTTGTGTCTGAAGATGACTCGGAAACTCAGTCTGTGTCTAGCTTCAGTTCAGGACCAACAAGCCCATCGGAAATGCCAGACCAGTCTCCTGCGGTTGCAAGGCCCGGCAGCCTGGACCTGCCCAGCCCCGTGTCCCTGTCGGAGTTTGGGATGATGTTCCCGGTGTTGGGCCCACGGAGTGAGTGCAGCGGGGCCTCTTCCCCCGAATGTGAAGGAGAACGAGGTGAGTGGCGGCCCCCCAGCCTTCCCGCTGCCTGTGTACCCGATGTGTGTGTTGTGTGTCTCTGCCCGGGGCCAGGCTGTTGGATCTCTGAAGGAGCTGCTGGTGGCGGTCACTGAGACTGTTTCCAGGGGCCGCTCTGGCCTCCTGGCTCTTCCTGACCAGCTTGGTATAAAGTAGAGCTTAGGTCCTCACCTGTTAAGAGGGAAGGGTTTCCCAGCTACATAACAAGAATGGCTAATTTAACCTCGAATTATACGGGATATATAAAATGATATAAAGAACAAGAACCAGTAAAGGATTACATGGTGAAGAACCATCTCTCTGATTCTAGTGTGTGGGGAAATGCTGAGAATTCCAAAGGGCTGGGCTGGGCTGTCGGGCTGGTTTGTGCCTAATTTATAACCGTCAGTACTCAGTAGATAACCTTTGTTTCTCCATAGGTGACAGGGCAGAAGGGGCAGAGAATAAAACAAGTGACAAAGCCAACAACAATCGAGGCCTCAGCAATAGCAGTGGTGGTGGCAGGGGTAAGAGCCAAAGCAACAACACCTCCCCTGAGGGCCAGGCCTTGGAGACCCAGATGAAGCAGCTCTCTCTTCAGTGTTCGAAAGGAAGAGATGGGATTATTGCTGACATAAAAATGGTGCAGACTGGCTGATCCATTGAGCTATGCCCGTGTGCAAGAGAGTTATTTCTATGTGAAACTGGAGAACATTGTGCCAATAATCATTTAACATATGCCAAACCTTACGCATTCACTCTAAACTGCACTAATGAAGTTTCAGTGACCTAGAGGGCTGAAAAGTTTCCTTCCAGTGAGAGCTCTTGGGCTGGTTTGTTTTTTTCAGAGCAGAGTTATCGCAGGTGGACTGTTACCAGGGTCACAGCCTATGTGGAACATTCCCTGTAAGAGGGTTGTGGAAGCTATAACTAGTTCCTGTGAAAGAACCCAAGCCAAGAATTGGGCTGGAAGTTTAGTCCAACTGGAGACTGTAACTTGAGTCTTCTTCTGCCCTCGGTTGTGGGAAACTGAGATGTTCTCGCCATTATATCCCAGGGCATTTAAATAGTTTTAAAACCTACATACAGCCGGGGATTTAGCTCAGTGGCGCCATGCCTGCCTCACAAGTGCAAGGTCCTGAGTTTGATCCCCGGTACCAGTCCCCCCACAAACCCTACGTACGCTAAAACTCAAGTGTTCAGAGCACACCTTTTTGACCTAGTGAAGGCTTAAAAATTCCAAGAACACGATTCATTTTCATCACCTCTGGTGTTCAGAGAGGGCTTTTAAGAAAGCATGTATGCTGGGACACTCATTAAAACCATAACCTAGGAAGGCTACCATGAACTGCACTTTCGGGGTGGGAAAGGTGAATGTCAGCGTGGGGGTGGGGGATGAGGGTAGCAAGGACACATCATAGGAGGGAATTAGTGGCTGTAGGAAGGAAGGGTACATAACCTTATCCTGCCAGCCAAGGGGATTTATTCTAAGAGAAGTGCATGTGAAGAATGGTTGCCATTGTTATATCTAGATTGACATGGTGTTCATTTCTATATAAGTTGTAACTTTAAATGAAATTATTCGAGGGTTATGCTGCACTAGTTTTCTTAGAGGAAGTTGTCCTTCAAGGTAGGAAAGGGAGTAGGCATGTGTTGGCAAAGGCTGTTAAATAGAAGCAATAGAGTCTGTTATGCTACTAGCAGTGTTAAGACCGCTTTTCTTTAATGTTTTCTTGATTATGCATATTTAGAATGCTGTATTTCATTTGTCTTGTTAGGAAAGTTTAGCATTTCTAAAAGAAAAAAGCACCTCCCCATTTCAAGTTGTTAATCCTGTCACAGCCTGTATATTTTAGTCATTTGTATATCTCTTCATACTGTAGTAGTTTCTTTTTTATTGACTGATGCAGTATCCTAATTACAAGGCTTTTTGTACTTGTCTTAATACCTTGAGTGTAATAAAAACTGCTTAAGAAAAGTTTGTGTGACTTCAAATAAGAAATTCTGGTGTTGCCTAGCTCTTCTGTCCTAGGTAACTCTCTTATCATAAAGATCACGGAATCGCTTCTCGGCCTTTTGGCTAAGATCAAGTATAAAGATCACGGAAAGCAGTGGTCATTTGTTCTCATTTTCAGTTAAGGTCCTGAATCCTAGTAATTTCAGTCCAAATACAAGGTTTGAGTTAGAATTACACTTTTGCTACTGCTAAAGCTGAGCAGTCAGGAGACTGGCAGGGAAATACAAGTGAGGTGGTTATGTGGAGGAGAGGTCTTCAGCCCTGAGGACCTAGAGCCTTGCAGTCTGGTCTCATCCCCAAGGACTGAATTGATCTGCACTTGGACGTCACTTTGTCAAGTTCCCAGGTGACTCCGAAGTGTTTCATGGTTATGACTCAGATGGTTATCATGATCCTTTCTTCAGCAGACATGGTAAAGTGCTGGTCTTCTAATCTATGGACTTTTAATGTGTATATTTCTACTACAGTGTGCTGTAGGGAAAGGTGCAGGGTTACCAATAATCATGATTAAGATGCTTTACCTAGTGCTTTTTGCTCAGAGTTCATCAAACTGTTACTTGAATCCCAGTTGACCCTATTTTCAAGGTCCATTCAAATCCCCGCATACTGTGGATTCTCTCGTAATAAAAGATAGTGAGACTTTTGTGAATTGCCGTTAGCAAAAACTGTTTGAGACATTGCTCATTTTCCCATGTTCTAGGGAAAAAATTTTTTTATGGAAAAGCCCTGGGATGGCCTAACATTCCTTAGAAACAAACTATACCGTCTAAAGTTCAGACTCGAACGTGTGGTGAGTTTTTGGCTCAAATATGTGTTACCCAGAGTTAAATCTTACTATTTACCTTTTATCAATAGAAACCACAAAAGCACATTTCAATAATGATTAGAAATTTCTAATAGTTTTTGCAGGGAATGGCAGTGGGACAGAATTCTGTAGCGCTGGGGCTTTGGGAAGACAAGCCTGTGCCAGTTAATCGGACTCGTGGATCACGGCGGCAATGTACTCATCAGTGGATTAATCTGATGGTCACGGCAGAATGTGCTACTAGGGTGGGGCACAGTCGGAGGTGCCTTTGGTATCTCTCTCCCGCTGCTGGTCTTTCCCTGTGCTCTACTTTCTGGCAGCCATGAGGGAGTGGCTTGGCTCTACCACACCCTTCACCATGATGATCCTGCTTTGGAGTCAGCTGACGAGTCTGAAACCTCCAAAACCGTAAGCCAAATTAAACTTCTCTTTTAAACTGTAGGCACTGAGTTTTTGTTGTTGTTTTTTTTTTTTTTT